TTCAAAGGCTGTCTGTACTTTTATTTCATAACAATTTGTTAAAGCTAGTCTGAGATCCTTGTTTTGTTTGTATCAGAGGGAAGGGAAGCTTTGCAAACAGGTTTCCCAAAGCAAGGCTGAAAATTGAATAACAAGATTGTGATGTACTTTTATGATCACTTTTACCCTCTGTTAACTTCTGATCGTTTTTTTTTCTTCCTTCATTCGTCAAACAATGACGACAAAACAGTTTTTGAGAAAGAAGTGGGGAAATCCTATTACCTAATGACCTGCAGGCTTTTTCTTTACGATCTTTAGGTTCCTTAGGTTCCACAAAGCAAAGCCATCAAGGTCTATGTGCTACTTCTCTACCATACACCGACCAGTTCCCTGGTGATTTTTTTTCTTCTTCTTTAGTCCCATACACATACAATGGAGTTGTAAGATGTCCTTGGTGGGTTATTACAGGGCATATTGAACAGGGGGCTGCAACTGTGTAAACTCTTTGGCAGAGCCAAGATAAACAGGACTGATTGTGATGTATACCAACCATGCTGGGAGCACAACATGGCCTGCTTAATCTACTTCCTCGCTGCTGCTGGAATCGCAAGAATTTTCTGAATTGGATCAATCTTGATTTTCTCTGAATTTCTTGATTTCTTCAAATAACACCTCAATCCAAACTTGGGAGTAATTCAGTGTAAATATTATTGATTGAACAAACCTAAAGTACACGGTGCACGCATGGCCAAATGTACAATTTTAGTTGATGGTCCTACAAGCAACTGAAGCAAGCCTCCAAATGTACACTTCATTAGTCTTGTAGGACTGTGAGATGTACCTGTAAGGAAACCATTATGAAATAGCGTAGGCAATCCCAAAGTGATCATCAATAGCCATGCCTGACCCTGGATAGACAATCCATTACACAATTCCAAGAAAGATCTCTTTGGAGATGATGATCATCAATGAAACAAGGAATCAGAACATACTTTAACATGAGACCCATTTCAGGTGGAGGATCCAGGATTTTGGGGGGGGGGGGGGGGGGGGGGGGGGTACACTCCAGGAAAACAATCTGATAGGCAAAATTTCAAAAAAAGTTTCAAATTTCTTACAATAACTAACTTACATGATTTACATAAAAACAGCACTTGTTCCGGTTCCCCCTTCAAAAATATAAAAGGAGTTTGTCATATATTTGGGTGCATATAAAGTATTAAAAATAACAAAAGATGTTTTATTTTCCTATTTTTAAGATGTATCAAAACAGGGGGCCACTAGCAGGTTGCCCCCCCCCCTCCTTACACTCACCAGTGCCTATTGCCTTGGTATCAAGACCTATTTGGTTTCATAAGGGTGGGGGGGGGGGGGGACCGGGAGGGGGGCTTCACGGTTCCCTGCAAGCTTTGATTACAGTGTCCCATAAATCTCCTACATGTAGACACCTATAAACATCCTATCTCCCATTACAAGCCTCTGTAAACAATCAAAGCTGGCTGATCATGGCTTTTAGGGATAATGATAATAAACTATTGTTTTTTTAAAGCATTTCAACAACTTCAGTGTCTGTACAAAGGGAACTTCCTGCTATTCCATAACTCTACCCCAGTGGATAATTGTGCAACACCCTTCAACTACAGTACAGTCAAAATAAACCACCCCCCCCCCCTAACGTTTGTAACGTTTTCAAAACGTTAATTATATATCTAACCTTTTAAAGCCCGCAGTTGCAATTAGCAGGATATTTGGTCGAGAAATATCCCAAGAAATTTTGGTCTTGTTTCCAAAATGTCCTGCTATTTGGGAAATAGCGGGCTAATTTGCAGCCATCTGAGCTAGTTTGGGATGAGCATATTGGTCTGGTGAAGACGCAATTTCGAGCTCCGGGATAATATCCAGAGTCTGAAAATAGTGGGTTATTTGCTGATGAAAACAGGCCTATTGCACACTGTCTGTATATCACAAGCACTGTCCAGTGTTTCTTTCTCTAAGGAAGATTGTTATCCTTGGTGGGCAGTACGCGTGTAAATAGACACCGTAAATAGACCACTGCATACAGAGCATACTGAAGACCTATGTGTCACACCAAGCATGAAATCATGTCCATTTAGGCCTTCATGTTCACACCATGTAAACATAGTCTTAGGAGGGAATAATGAGTTTCTGATACATCCAGTGCCGGAACTAAGACATGTATTGAGAAACATATCATCAACGGTTGTAAACACAGGGATGCGCACTGTGTCTTATTACACAGGAAACGTGAAGGCACATACAATAACAATGCTAGGATGTAACATGTATGAGCATTGACATGTAACTTGAATAACAAGAACACTTATGAATCACTTATTGTTCCAGCTAAAAAGTACTCAAGTACGTACAAGAAGAAGATACAAACAGGATTGCAAAAGACATCTATTCTTCTGGTGTTATAACATTGGCTCCTGATTTCATTCAATACATGTATAATACAATTGTATACAATTATTTTTTGCTTAGTCAGAGCATCGACCTACTAAGGGTGCGTTCAATCGAATTTTCGAAGCTAGAATCACAAACATGAATCACAAATCAAAACGCCGTTACAAAAAACAAGGTCACTGCGGTTAGCGTTCAAGCGATTTTTCATCAATGCTGATTCTAGCTCATTTCGAGCCCAGCCACTGCGGATCACACTCGCAGTTTGACCCAGGAAGTATAGGTCAACTTCGGCGCGCGCTTTTTGGAATTGTTTACGGCCGACTGTCGACTGCTGTTTTGAGCATAGATCGCAATAAAAAAACAAAGAATGAAAAGGTGATGGAAGGAAGAAACAAAAAATAACCTAAGGAAAGACAGAAAGAGAAAGTGATAGAATGATCGAAACAAAGAATAACATAAGAGAAGGTGATAGAAGGAAAAGAACAAAGATTAACATAAGGATAGAAGGAAGAAACAAAGAATAACAAAAGAGAAAGTGATAGAATTATAAAAACAAAGAATAACATAAGAGAAGGTGATAGAAGGAAGAAACAAAGAATAACATAAGAAAAGACAGAAAGAGAAAGTGATACAATGATTAAAACAAAGAATAAAATAAGAAACTGTGATAGAAGGAAAAGAACAAAGATTAACATAAGAATAGAAGGAAGAAACAAAGAATAACATAAGGAAAGACAGAAAGAGAAAGTGAAAGAATTATAAAAATAAAGAATAGCATAAGAGAAGGTGATAGAAGGAAAAAAACAAAGATTAACATAAGAATAGAAGGAAGAAACAAAGAATAACATAAGGAAAGACAGAAAGAGAAAGTGAAAGAATTAAAAAAACAAAGATTAACATAAGAATAGAAGGAAGAAACAAAGAATAACATGAGGAAAGACAGAAAGAGAAAGTGATAGAATTATAAAAATAAAGAATAACATAAGAGAAGGTGATAAAAGGAAAAAAACAAAGATTAACATAAGAATAGAAGGAAGAAACAAAGAATAACAAAAGAGAAGGTGATAAAAGGAAAAAAACAAAGATTAACATAAGAATAGAAGGAAGAAACAAAGAATAACAAAAGAGAAAGTGACAGAATGATTAAAACAAAGAATAACATAAGAGACTGTGAGTGAAGGTAAAAAACAAAGAATAACATAAGAGAAGGTGATAGAAGGAAGAAACAAAGAATAACATAAGGAAAGACAGAAAGAGAAAGTGATAGAATGATTAAAACAAAGAATAACATAATAAACTGTGATAGAAGGAAAAGAACAAAGATTAACATAAGAATAGAAGGAAGAAACAAAGAATAACATAAGGAAAGACAGAAAGAGAAAGTGATAGAATTATAAAAATAAAGAATAACATAAGAGAAGGTGATAAAAGGAAAAAAACAAAGAATAACATAAGAATAGAAGGAAGAAACAAAGAATAACATAAGGAAAAACAGAAAGAGAAAAAGAGGAAAACAAGGTATAACATAACGGAACAGGCCATGATAAAGAGCATGGTATAGTAAACGCAAATTGCATGAAAAGCAGGCGCGCGGTTTTTGCCCAAACCGGAACAGGCTCCGTCATACAATCATGATTGAGAACTCCGTCCGTTCAATCGAATTTTAGCGACCGTGATTCTGCAGAATCATGATACAAAACGCATCTTTTTCAGCGTTTCATGTTTGTGTTTTCAAACACGTTTATTTTTACGACCGACGAAAAAATCGCTTGAACGCATTGCGTTTTAAACTAAACGTCTTTAGAAACCGTGATTCTAGGGTGAAAAAGTGTCGATTAAACGCACCCTAAGACTACTACTTCTTAGTAGGTCCATGGTCAGAGCAAAGAAAGAGCAAATTCACCTGCAACCAAGGCTACATGTCCATTCTTAACAAGTGCAATTATTATTTAACTGTCAATTATATATTTTTATGATATGAGATATCAAAGGAAGATTGACCATTATGGACGGTCCCACGGGAATTTCAAATGACCCATGAATGTCAGGCTCCATTTAGAAAAAATAGCCTAACAGGTTAATAGTGTATATAGCTGGGCAATAAGACATTCCATGCATTCACCAATGGTAATAGCATTGCTATCATTTTGGTTTATTGTTTTGTGGAGGTTTAGATGTGACATTTATAACCATTTACAGTTTTACGGTATCGTAACAACAACAAAACCATGATTTCTTCTCATTTTCCTCTCATTCTCCTCTTCTCTCTTTCCGTTCATGTATCAATCCATCTGTTTCTTTCTCACTCTTTTTATTTACACTTTGTTATGTTGATGTTGATGAGGAGGACGATTACTTCAGTTATCAGACTACAAATGAACCCGACATATGGTTTAGAGGCTGGTAAGAAGTTAAGAACCAGGTGATGAGGATCTATACCTTACAAACCATATCTAGCACATCTCTTTGGTTTCAAACCAGGGCCTCCTGATTACAAGACCACAGCTCTATCAATGAGCCATTGCGCCCCCTCCCCCCATGTTTCATTCTTAGCTTATTTCCTTGATATTATGGAATAATTTGAGATGACATACCTTAATTGGTCAATCAGATTTTGTCCTATTCCAATGGTATTGACCGAGGCATCGACAGTTATCGTCCTCTGATGCTCAAACTCTGCTAAATCCTTCTCCGCACCGTCCACAGCCTCAGAGACGATGCTGCTGCGCAAACTTTCTTGCAGTTCTTTGTACCATATACTCAGCTGTGGGAGAATAAGATAAAATTGTTTTATACCATCGATTACAGAAAATAGTACTCTACTTTTTAATTGATTTCTTGAAAACCTCACTTCAAATCCATACACTGACATTCTAAGAATCAAATAGATTTAAAAAAAATCATTTTCACTCTTGTTGGAGGAAAACATATTATGTCACATAGAATATGCTTGATTGTACTAATGTAATTATTCAAGGTGATCATACTAAAAAACAACATTATCAAGCTAATTGTTTGATCTGACCATGTGCCCCAGTAACATTTGCACTGCAGGCTTTATTTCACTAAAGATACAGGGTTAGGGTTGCGTTTTGGGATTAGGATTAGGGACTTAAGAGTAAGGATTAGTGTTAGCTCTACAGCTGAAGTTTGGAATTCAGTTAAGACTTTGAAATAGACTGAGAAGCATTTGTCACAAGAACAAGAGTTTAGTAAAACTGTTTAGTGATGTCAAATTCTACGAGGTGACCAGCTAAGGACCACAAGATTTCCTTCTCAACCTACCTCTTTACTGTGCTGATGAAAGGCCACTGACATAACAAGCAACTGACGACGCTGTGCAACTCGGCTAATAAAGTCCCCGACTTTGGCTTCTAGAGCCCTCGCAACTGGTTCGATCTCGTCCGGCTCGCACTCCCCGGTCTGAGCGAGCTGCGCGGCGTCTTTCAGAAGTCGCTCTGCATTTGTGAAAGTATTCTGCAAATATAAATGGAAAAAAAAAAATTGAAATGTAATTAAACATATAATTGGATTAAAAAACTGATAAAAAAAAGTGTTCGTTTAAAAAAACAGGTTGATTTACGAGATCTAAATTTACAAAATTCATCATGTCATATAAAACAAGCAGTGTTTATCTTTGTTTCTCACTTGCTCACAATTTCTACATATTCACACCTTCACCCTCCCCCCTTTTTTTTAGAGGGAGGGGTTGGGTAAACTTCAGAGATTCTCCTTCAAAAAGCAACTTTAACTCTCCTTACATTGCAGCCACACTTACAATCTCATTATGATTTGGGCCAATATACATGACACCCAAATCAGGCAAACACTCACATTTCCTACTATCATTATATTATGCCATTTATACCATCACTTCATTTTCTTCTCAACTTCTTCTCTTGACTTTTCTTCTCTCTGCCTATTCATCTCACCCATTCTCACAATAACTACTGTACTGTAAAAATCATAATCATACCACAAACTTACATCCAGAATGTATCACCAACCTATTCCTCGACCTCACTATCTATTCCTCGACCTGCCTCAAAGCTACACTCATCTTTCACACTAAATGCAAATCACCAATAGCAACACAAATTTGTGAATAAAGATCACAGTTGTCTCAATATAGCATACTATGCACACTCCTTTGTTCTTAACCAACCAAAACAGTTGTTTAGGAGCAAAAAACAGCCAAAGACAACACAAAAACGTGTGTTTTATTTGTGAAGCAAATACGAACAATAGCCAGTGTTATGCCCTATAAATTGGAGTGGGTCAATATTTTGATGCTGCCTGATGGACCAGAATGATACAAGGTCACACTTTACTTGCGATTCATAACGCTTTGCAAAGGTTAGTTTTGTTGAAAATTAAGGACATAACTCTTTATCCCTTCCACCACCTCTTGAAAAGGATTATCCTACTCTTGGGTTATAATTGGACTGCTGTTAATTTTGGTGATTTGAAATTTTATTGATTTTTTTATAAGCTTTTTTTCTTCTCTTATTTTATTTAGTATATTAAAGACTGACCAGCAGCACAATATAACAATTCACAGTGTTGGAATATATATCTATGATACAAAGTTAACCGAGAATACATTTTACTTGAAGCTCATCAGCAGCATACAGTATTCTCTTTATCGTTGCAGCATGCCATCAGGGCAGTTTTCTTGCCGATGGTGGAGTCAGGGTTCTGACCCTATGGCATGACAATAGTATTCTTTTCATATCATTTACATACAGTTTCTGTCTTTGACACGTTGTAGCAGCAGAGTATACAGATTTCATCATAAATCTTACAGTAAGAAAGCTTCAAGTATATGGTATACATCTTACACTTCCCTTCAATAATATATATTTTTGTTTCAATTAAATGGAATATCTCCGAATATGACATTAGAATGTGTGTAGCATGAGCAATGTGGGAAAATGCCAAAAGCATGATAATACACTCTACAAATATTTATATGTACAAGGCAATGTACTTCATGTAGATATGTTCCAACTGTCATTTTTAATATATTATTGAACCTATCATCATAATCACCTTCCCCTTTATTCTTCTCTTCCTTTTTTAATTCTCCCTCTCTTACCACCACCTCCCCCCCCCCTCTCTCTCTCTCTCTCTCTCTCTCCTCCTCCTCCTCCTCCCCCCTCCCCCTCCCCCCTCCCCCCTCCCCCCTCCCCCTCCCCCTCCCCCTCCCCCTCTCTCTTTTCTAGAGTATCACATGTGAAAACATATATATTTATTGCAGAGCAATAGAACAGGCCTTGAAACCATGGAGATTGGACATTCACATTGGTGCAGCTTTACACCGAGACCCATACCATGGACCTACTAATGCCCATACGGTACCGATCACTTGGGCTGCAGAGAAATGAGGGCAATATAAGCACATCTTATACTCACAGTGACTGAAATACGCCTCATGAATTTTAAATCATTGTATACACAGGTAGCCTGAAGCTCATTCTTAAAAGGCCAGTATAATGCTATGCATATAGGCAATACATACAGAAAAACCTATATAAAAGCCCATCATTCCAGTCACACCACCAAACCGCCTCCACACCTACTCCACACCGACTGATTCTTGGTTATTTATTTGGTATAATGTAATTGTCTGTTTGATCTGTTGTTGGTCTGGTGACTGTCACGATAGGGTGACTGAGGTGTGACTATCTTCATCAATAATTATTACTTGTAAGTGATGAAATGTTTTGAAATCTATGGCAGTAAGATGAAGTTGTGATATGTAACAAATTTGTTTATTTTTCCTTGTTCACTCCTAGTAGAAAAAAATAAGACTTTAAAAATGTCAATCAAGATCACAATTATAAGATTATCATGTCAAAAGAATACAGGCTATCCAATACAACTGGATATAGTAGTACAAATTCATATTATTTTGAATGGCAAAAGTCTACAATAATCAACATTACTAGGAATTCAAACTTTATTTGTAATTCCATATTTGTTTTAAGCACTTTGCCAACAGTGACAAGCAAAAAAAGACAATCCAAATACAATAGATTTAGTCTAGATTTATATTCCCGGATTATTTAATAGCGAAGGGAAATGAGCGCCAGTCTGCTGACTAGTGAATGCATCTCTGACATCTTGTTGAACAAATAACCAGGAAGAAAAGCTGGAGGATTATCCTGCCTAATCTGTTGTATTTTCCCTTTTGACAAACACTAATCTGGCAAGCAAGAGAATAAACGAGGGTAAACAAATGAAAGGGGGTACTTTATTAATTGTTCTTTTCACTTCAAATAAAATAAAATCCTTTATATCTCACCATTGTTTAGTTCAAGAGCTTTGATTTGGGCAAACTCTCTAGACCTATAAAGAAATGCCACCACAGTGAATTGAAAGCTCTACAGATTTACAGAAAATTGACTCTTGCTGGTAACTTTTAACTCAACAGCCAGTAAATGAACCATAAAGCTTATGGTCTATAAACTGTGGCAAAGGCTCATACCAAATAATATAAAACAGATCAATCAATCAATGACTGTACTGTTTCAGCATTGCTCGTTTACTAAACCATTTGCTAAGTTTCTAATCTGTATACACTGTACATTCATGTTGTATAGTAAACAATATAAATCTAACAAGTCTTCCTCCTGGAGCCAGAAGGGCAACTCTGTTTTGAAACATAGGCGTTGCTCCCCTTTATCTGGTCCAAACAGATGAAATAGTGCATCTTTGACCACACTGTCATCTTTGAGACTTGAGATGTGTAACTGAATGCATCCATGTTCCCTTGGAAACCTGATACCTGTTTCACAAAGCCTTTTTTCAATGACAATTGACAAAAATCAGTGACAAATCTGCTGATAACCAATCAGACGCAAGGATTTTAGTATAGCTTGTAACAAAAACTGTCATTTGTCACTGATGACAATTTTTTGAGAAACGCCCCCCTGATCCTCCATGCTGAGTGAGCTTCATCCTGGTCAGAGTTACTCTCCAATGATGCCGGACCCCAAAGAGTTAATTCAAACCTCTATCAGAGAATATCAGGCTCAAACCTTTTACACCCCTTTCTCTCCTTAACACGCTTCTCTTCGACCAAGAGCTATCCATGATTATTCATTTCCCCGTGTAAAAACAGAGGGCTACTTGATACTTTGTAGGTAAGGCATGCCGCACCTAGCTCCAGGCGATTCCATTTTTCATTTATCATTCGATCAGGACAGCAATGAATGATAGAATTACCATCGTTCATTAGCATTTCATCCCCACGGCACGATGGAAACAACGGTGTTACAGGGTGTAAGGCAAGATTATAAACCGACAGCTCAATATGTGATGCAGTCTCAGCTCTCTAATCAATCTTACCTACATGTTGGAGATCATAAGTTCCATTAATATTATTCAATGAGATTTTGGTATCAATCTTAAAATTCTTTTCAGCACTACGTTTCAACCGGTTTGAGGGTATCATCTCCATAAAACTATTCCTTGCAATGAGCACACCCTCAGTCTCCAATTTTCATACTACCTCCGGAGTTGGTTCTTCTCTATGTACATTGTAATATACATCTACATGTAAATGGGGCTGTCTATAACTTCAAAACATAAAGAAAAGGCATTTGAACAATCGACCCAGCTTGTTTACTTTTACTGTAACTTTAAGCAATACCGGTAAGCATTTTCCCACTTATTTATTATAAATCTGTTAGTGTATGTGTCTATATCGATACACACAATTTGAGTAGCAATAATCCATTTCATTAAAAAAATTGACCAACAGCATAGAAGAGGGGAAATAATTTGTAATATTTTTTCAGTCCAATATAATAAGTTTTGGCTCTTAATCACAATTGCCAAATCAACATTACAGAACCCATTCCAAATGTACTTTCAAGAGTATTTCTAGAATTTCAGGCTTGAATTGTGACTAAAATCATAAGCCTCACTCTGTACATATCTTTTAATATTATTCAACAGCACACTCATCTGAATCTCTGGCATGTCCCTGTCTGAAGTAACCTCCTGCATGACCGTGTACATGTCTCTCACACATGCATGCAGAGAGCAGATGCTCTTAGTTTCTATGTTAACAGACCCCTTAATCCCCATCTTCTATTTCTGAGATGCGTTCATTAGTTTCCATGTTAACAGACCCTTAATCCCCATCTTCTATTTTTGAGATGCGTTCATTAGTTTCCATGTTAACAGACGCTTAATCTCCATCTTCTATTTCTGAGATGCGTTCATTAGTTTCCATGTTAACAGACCCTTAATCTCCATCTTCTATTTCTGAGATGCGTTCATTAGTTTCCATGTTAACAGACCCTTAATCTCCATCTTCTATTTCTGAGATGCGTTCATTAGTTTCCATGTTAACAGACCCTTAATCTCCATCTTCTATTTCTGAGATGCATTCATTAGTTTCCATGTTAACAGACCCTTAATCTCCATCTTCTATTTCTGAGATGCGTTCATTAGTTTCCATGTTAACAGACCCTTAATCTCCATC